TGGGGTTGTAGGTGGAATTTGGCCGAGCGGCTTTGGAACTAGGTGTGTATTAGTAGGATATGTAAGCACGCCAAATTTCAAGCCAATCAGAGTTCACACGGGCCCTGTAGGCCACCAAGTGACTCCTCGCCACTTACGACGTCTACACCTGCCACACCAAAAATGCCTTATAATGTACCTTAGGGGGGACCAAGTAGTCATCAAACCTCCCCCCGACCAAGTGTTGTATATTTTCTTGCAATGAAAGTTTTCTTGCATCCAATGTCTACAATGCTTGTTTTAAAGATGTTTTCAACTGTTTTTCTCTCTCACGTTTTCTAAAACCAATTTTCTCCTAAAACGTGAGCGGAGGCTAGACCCACGACCGAGATTGTCCACAACTTACAGTTTTTCCTGGCTGACTTGCTCGTTTGAGYTAGAGCAAGTGCCGCACAATCGCTCGAGCTGCTTCGAAAAGGTGCGATTGTGACACCAGGCGCCTGCGTGGCTGCAGAAAAACTGGTTTTCTTCCAACTTTGCCCTTAATGAAACGCGTCTTCCAATGCGTTTTGGTGGTTCCAACCGATGCATACGTGTAGAAGAAGTGTTCCACTATCAGTTTGAGCACGATTTAGTCAGTCAAAGAAGTTGGAAATGGGTGATCCACCAGCGTTTTAGGACCAACCTAACCAATTCTACACAACTATAAATTCCAGCAGCTTCTCCACCAAATTCATCAAGCCTTGCTTCCTTCTCTTGATCATTTTTAGTGTTTCTTTGTTGCTTTCTAAGTACTTTTGAGTTGCTTTCATTAGTTGCTTTTGGTTTTTAAATCCCGAGCACTTTACATTCCTTTATTGAGCTTTGTTTTGTTTCCATTTGTACTTAGTTATTTTCTACTTATTCAAATATATAAAAATCCAGCACTTTGCTTATCTTCCCTTTGCCTTTACTTTATTTTTAGTTAAGAGAGTTGTGTTTTTGGAGGAAAGAGCACGTGACACTCYCCCTTGCTTGAAAGAGAAGGGCGAAGCTCTCAATCCCGAGAAAAACTCTCCGTTAGTTAACTTTTGTTTTTCACACATGTATTYCACATTCAACCATTTTACTTGCTGTATTTTCTTCAATATGTCTTTCTAAATTCCCGTCTCTAACCCGGTTATGGATAGTTAGCCTTTTATTTCTAAAAAGGGTTGCTAAGAAGTAGTGTTTTTGCTTTCCATTCATTACTCAACATGTTTTCCCAAAAAGTTAGGATTTAGAKAAGGCCACTGTAAGTCTTAACAAGTCAACTGAAAAGGTTGCTTATTTGCATTGTTGAGTGGTTAAACCGARGAGAGGAGCGCCTTAGACATAAGGGTTCCGCTTAAGTAGCCTAGACATAGGACCTTAACCCGAGGTTGCGACTATTTCCATCCTAAAACTAAGATATCTCTCGTAATAGACATATTAGGGAATGTCTTAGGACTTTGAACTTGYTTAGACATAAGTCAAGTGAAAAGCGTAGTCGTTGGTTYCTAAAGTAAAATGCATATCGTCCTTAGCATATCCTTGATTCTTTGTTSGCTAACTTGAAGTAATTCGGGCTAGGTTTCACCATTATAAGACCAAATCCCAAATCCAAAACCATTATTTGTGACCACTTCCCATTTTACAAAAATCACTCATTTCAACGTTCACTATTCATTAAAACTTTAGAGTTTGGAAATTATTTAGAAGTCTTTGAGGATCGATACTTGGATACTCCATCCATTTTATATTACTCTGACAGGTGTGCGCTTGCATCTATAGAATTGTTAYCATGCTTAGTGCGTGCGTTCAGCATAACCATCAGTCACATTCTGTCCAAATTCATGGTCATACCACGACCATGGTTGTGGCATTGAAATTCGAGGGTATATTCGTAATTACATACTCTCTGAAATGTCAGAAAAGTTAAAATTAGGTCAGACATTTTTATAATTGAGGTCAATTGAGCAAACTAAAAACTTTTTTAGGTTATCTATGTCATTTTCCCCCTAAGGTTCAATCGGATAAAATTAAAATTTTAGCATAAAAATAAAAATTGACTTTTCATAAATTTTAACATTAAGATTTCTACTTTCTTTTCTGACTTCAAATAATAATAATAATAAAATACTTTCTAATGCTTATTTATTAATTTATAAGCTTGTTGATTTTGATGGTCTTTTTATGAAATCTATAAAATTAAGACTTTGACTTAATATCAATATTAATATAAATTTATTTATATTAATCATCTGTCAAAAATTTATTTTTTCGTTCAAAATATAGCTGTTAGTTCTCTGGCAAGAAGGGAAATGGAAGATTGTCCTTGATAAATGACAGAATATATTTATAAATAAATAAAATTTATTCAATTATATTAATATTATTTTATGTACTAATTTATTTCGTTCTAAATTTAAAAGTTAATGATATATACTTAAAAAATTAATTTAATTAAGTAATTATTTTTTCTTTAAACTATTTTTTGTGGATCTAAATATTAATGCTTGACAAAAAAAAAGTTTCAGAATAATTTTAAATCTTATTTCCAGCTTTTGGTCTATTTTGACCCGTATATTTTTAATAAGTTCATTTTGGTTCTTGTACTTATAAAAGCGACTGTTATGATACATGATTATAAAATCATATCAAATTATAAACACAGCGAAAACACTTTAATATAAAATTATGATAATATTTTAAGATTTTTTAGTACAACATGTGGAGGTGGGGATTAGAATTCATGTGACTTTTTAGTCAGATACAAGTTCCTTAACTAGTTGAAGTATGCTCGTGTTGGCAATATTTTAAGAAATTGATGAGGTGAAGTGCTATCTTGAAATTATGATGAAAAAAATTAGTTAAAAAAATAAATAAACCAAAGTGATCTTTTTTTTTTAAGTAAATGAACAAAACAAATATTCTTACAAGTGTAAGAACCAAAATTGATCAAAGTTAAAAAGTATAAGAACACAATAGACCATAACTGAAAATAGAGTGACAAAATAGGATTTAAAATCTTCTTAATATCTAGGTTAATTACAAATTTGTCTAAGTTCATATCTAATAGGTCCTTGAACTTTAAAAAGTATCTMAATACGTCTATGAACTATCAATTTTGTGTATTGTCTTCGAACTTTAAAAAGCGTATAACATGTCCTTTTAACTTTCAATTATTTGTCTAATGGGTCCCTAAAATTATGACAATATTTCAAGAAATTGATTAAGAATTGTAGTGTTGTGTTTAAATTGTGATTAAATAAATGAGAAAAAGGAAACAAATGTGTTGAGATTGGCGGAGTCAAAACGACGTCGGATCGAGCTAGGGAAGAGTCGGATCGAGCCGGGACGCGTCGAGGTCGAAGCGGGGATGAAAAACAATGGAGCGAGCGCTGCAAGCCGATGAGGCAGCACCGTGGCGCCACTGCAGGGCGCCACAACGCTAGGGGACAACGCCACGGTGCTGTCCAAATGGGGAGCACGGACGATGTTTCGTCCGTAGCTCCATGGCACTGTGTCAACTTTATAAAAGTGCAGTTTTTCTTTTTAGGGTTTATTCCAGCCGTCTTTGAGAAATTTTCATAGAGTTTCGTGGCAGTTTCAAGGGGAAGGCTCGGGCATTGGCAGAGGCATTGGGATCGATCAAGATCAACGTATTCGGGGTAATTAGATCTTGATTCTTGTGAGTTTTTCATTCCTGTTCCTATGTATGAATTATGTAAAATAGTTAGAAGCTAGGGGACTTTTGTTGAGACCTCTAGGGGATATTTTGGGGAGTGTTATTGTATCCAATCCTAAACAATATTAGTGAATTACTCACATCTGAGTGGAAGACTGGACGTAGCCCTTAGTRGTGAACCAGTATAATTTGTTGTGTCGTATTCTTGTTCTTTACTTTTTTCTTCCTATTTGCATATTATTGGTTGTGTTGGATATTTTATGTGGAAGCAGAAATTATTCCGGTCAATAAATTTCCCAACAAGTGGTATCAGAGCTGTAGGGTTGTAGCATCATAGGAGACAAATATCACACACACCATTACTATGAAGGGGTTCTAAAGTTCACCGGGGAAAATTTCAGTTTTTGGAAGATACAGATAAAAGATCTTCTTACATGCAAGAAGATACACAAGACTTTAGGGGAGAGACCAGTAGGGATGGAGGACAAGGATTGGAATGAGATGGATGAGTAGGCCGTTGTGAACATCAGAATGGCGTTATCAATGAATGTTTGTAGTCTGGTGGTGAAAGAGACTTCAGCGAAAGATTTATTGAAGGCCTTGCAAGACAGGTATGAAAAACCTTCTACCAATACAAAGATCCTTCTATGGACGAGGTATTTTAATATCCACATGGAGGAGGGAACCTCAGTGAATTACCACATTAATGAACTCACCGATATCTTGAACAAGTTAGAAGGAATGAGTGTCAAGATTGACGAGGAGGTGAAAACTATGAGGCTATTGACGTCTTTGTCTGACAGTTGGGAGACGATGAAGACCGCGGTGTCAAATTTGCTAGGGGAAAATAGCTTGAAATTTACCACTATTTGTGATGCCGCTTTATCTGAGGAAGCCCAGAGAAAATTAGGGAAAATATCTGCATCTACTTCAGGGGTAGAAAACGAGGTTAAATCAGCTTTGGTAGCTCAGAACAAAGGGAAGGCAAAGATGAGTTACAATGAGAAGCAGCAGCAGAGATATAGTAGGGGTAGTGGGAGTTATAGTGGAGAAGTGGAGTGTTTTTACTGCCACAAGAAGGGACACGTTAAATGTTTTTGCAGGAAGTTTAAAGAAGATGTTGAGAAGGGGAACGCTASTGCAAATTTTGTAACAGAAGGAGAACACATTGAAGAGTTTCTGGCTTGTGTTCAGAGCAACATATCTGTAGACCAGTGGGTGGTAGACACTGCAGCATCAGCGCATGTTGTTTCAGACAGACGTTGGTTCTCATCTCTTACTATAGGTAAATATGGTTAAGTGAAGATGGGGAATGAGAGTATCTCCAAGGTGAGATGAATTGGAGATGTTTGTTTGAATACAGGCGAAGGGGCCGAGTTGATGTTACGAGGTGTCAGATATATTCCTAGCTTCATATTTAATTTGTTATCCTCAGTGAAGCTAGATGACGATAGCTACAGCAGTGAGTTTAATGGGGGTTGGTGGAARCTCAAGAGGGAATCTGGGGTGGTGTCAACAGACCACAAGAGATCTTCTGTTTATGTGTCAAATTTTGGGGTTGTCAAGGGTTCACTGAGACAGACTATGCACAGAGTAGTTGCAGATGGTTCAGGGCGAGACCTTAGAGGATCAGCAGCATTAATGGCCAGAACAGATCAGAAGAATCTGCCATCAACTCAAGTAAAACAGTTGAGAAGTACAAAAAAGGRAAATGGGAATTTGATAGGCCATCGAGTTCATAGCTCARTTGTCAGACGTTCAAGCGAGCTGGTGAAGTCGCATAGGCAAATTAGTGCATTGAAGGGTACGGGTTCTGTTTCTAGTGTGGCAACAGACTTGGGTGGGAGTGCCAAGTCATCAGAAGAATCTTCCTTCAGTACGCTAACATCAACCAAAATGGACAAAAGTTAAAAGTACAACAACCAAAATAAAAAAGTTGAAAGTACGCTAACATCTACTCCTTCGTTTAAGGTTAGAAATCCCACGGACCACGCCCCACAATTCATTGTATTCAAAAAGATAAAAAAAAAACTATAGTATACTTAAAGATGCTTTAAATATTACAAAATTCTTTTTTTTTCGAGCAGGTATGAGAATTTTAAACCCCGATCCCATGGAATGGAGTTATATATCTCTCACTAGTAAGATATTATGAACTCTCTGATGAGTTTATTAATTCAGGCTTGTTTCGGGAGATTTTTTTAAAAGATAATCTATTTTAAAAAAGATATATACAAAAATAAGGTAGGTTTGAAATTAATTTTTTTTAATTATTTAAGAGTCTGCGGTCCTTTGACGTTGATGACCTATAATTAGTTGTGTATTTTTTTTATTAACTTTTTTTCTCTTTTACTATTATTGTTGTTATTATTATTATTATTATTATTATTATTATTATTATTATTTGTATCATGCCTAAAATTAAGGAGGAGAAGTGCGTGAAAGAAGGGACTAAAACTGGATGAAATTATTAGTATTGTAATATATTTTTCCACGTTTGGGTTTCTTTAAACAATGTATTTGAAAACATATATATAGAAATAGGGATTTAAGAAAAAAAAATCAATACAGTTTAATTACCTACTTTTAATTTCTTTTATCATGCCTAAATCAGGCTTGCATAAATTTCGTNAAAATTGAAAATTCTCGAGGGGCTACCTAGATGAAAAAAAACAAATCCTCCAAGATTCCGTATCAAATTGATTTAAAGATAGGATTGCAGAACAATTCTATCACGCTACTAACATAGTTTATGGAGAAAATAACGGTAGTTTTTGACTTTTCAACGTGGATAAAATTACTGATGTGAAAAAATAAAATAGGAAAGAATGTGTAAAAGATAGATGGGATTCAAATTCAAAATCATGGAAGATAATATCTTATAATTAAGGAAAATTCTCTCTTCAATTTGATGCTATTTTCTTCCATATTTTGTGTTTCAAAAAAATTATATATATATTTTATGCTATATATATTTTTTCTTCCATATTTTGGAGAGAGAAAAGGGAAATTTGGCTGAATAGAYATTTTGCCAAATCATTTTAGTTTTTTAGGCGCCCTTTCGAAGACATAAGTTTTTTTAGTTATTCAATGATATGAAATTATGTATTTACCCTTCTTTCACTATTTCTGTATCTCCTTTTTCGATTTTCTCTCTGTTTCATTATTATTTATCTTTCTGATTCTTCAACTTCTCTCCCTATCATTCGTTCTTTCCCATTTTTTCTCTCCACCATATTCCTTATTTTTCTAAAGTTATACACAATCTGCTTGTTCCCTCCCTCTTTTTCCATAATATTCTTCTTCCCTCCCAGTTCCTTGATTTTTCAAAATATTTAGCAAATCTCAAAGAAGACGATGACGAGGGAGGAGACGAGGGAGAGCGAGAAGAACGAGAACGAGGGAGAGTGAGAGATAGGGGAGAGAGAATTGAATTTCTAATTTAATTTAATTACTTAAAAATCTATTTATAGAACGAATAATTATCGAATAAATTTCATAAATTATTGAATTAATTATTAATCTAAATAATTATTAATAAAATTTGGTTAATTTACATGAAATCATAAACAAAATTAAATGTAAATAAATAAAATATTSGGTAAAATTCAAATTCAAAATTATTATCAAATGATTTAAGAGATTAAAGATTTTTTAATTAAAAATTTGAAAATTAGAATTAAAGAAAATAGAATCTCAATCTATTTTAGTYTAGTGTATTCATATTCAAATTTGAAATTTAAATCAAACTTGTTTAATATGTTTTTTTCTTCCTTAAAATCTCTCCTTTAATCTCCTAAATTAATAAAATTTCAGCAAACTCAAAATCAAAACTAAGATCACATTAATAAWTAAATTTTCTAAATTTAAAAAAACCCACCATCGCACAATCTTCGATTTTAATTAATTTCCACATCAAGTAGAAAGAGAAAAGAAAAAAACTCACGTAATGATAGGGGGAAAATAATTAAATTTGAAATTTGAAAATGAAATAAAACTTAAATTACAATAGAATAAATGAGATTTAAGAAAAGATTGAGGAGAAATTTAAGGAAACAAATTTAGATTAAATTTTAAATTTGAATACCAAATTACTAAAATTAGGGAGATTGAGATTCTGTTTCTTTGAATTCCAATTTTCAAATTTTTAATTAAAAGAATCTTTAATCTCTAATTATTTGTCAATTCATTTTAAATTAATTTAGATAACGTTTTATCTCAACTTTCTCTCACTCTCTCACTTTTCTCGCTCTCTCTCTGTCTCGCTCAACTTTCTCTCTCTCTTTATCTCCTTCCCCATCCACATCCCCATGGTTAGGTTGAACTTTCTCGTTCCCTGACCTGCCTCGTTGATTTTGATGCACCCGTCGTTGGCGATTGCTGAAAGTTAYCGGAATCATGGAGGCTGCTCGTTAAAAAGAAAAGAAAAAAAGAGAGAAGGTCGAGAGATTTAGGGTTTTTTAGAGTAAAGAAGAAGGGAACGAGAAACTCAAGAAAATTTTAGAGATGATGAGAGAAAAAACCCCACGGCGGAATAGAGAAAGAATGGGTTAATGAAAAATGATAGAAGAAAAAAAATTCCTATAAAAAGAGAGAGGGAGATAGAGGGAGGGAAAGAGGAGATAAGAGAGAGAAAAGTGGAAGAAGGGTAAATACATAATTTCACATTCCCACAAGAGAAAACTAATGTTTCCAAAACGGGGCTTACAAAACTAAAATGATAGGAGATTTGTTATATATTAAAGGATTTTGAGAATGAAAAAAATTCAAAAATTTATATAAAAAAATCTAAAAATTTGCTAAAAAAGGAAATTACGTACAATGTACTCGATTTCTATGTGTGACGCACCTTCCACATAGTCATATACTTGACATCATAAATCTCGTACAATATACGCGATTGTTGACTTTGACCAACATTAATTTATTTTTGTCAATAGTTCGTAGAGATACTTTTAATTTTATAATTTTTTTTATATAATTTAAAATGAAAACTACTCTATTTTTGTAAATTTTCTTTTAAAATTACATTATTGATGAAATTTCTCCTGTTTTGGGAGTAGTGAATCCTAAGGTTGATATTCATTTAATAATACATTATAAAGCTGATTGTTAGTAATATTATATTCTTTTTGTTACAAGGATTTGTTGGCAGATTTGATTTGAAGTTGATGGGAAATAATTCATCATGCTCAATGAGAGATGAAGGGGCATTATTGTCAATTAATTCAGTTGATAGAACATTTTTTTCGAATAAACTTTGTCTTCATGTCAGCAACTGCTTGTAGATCATCATACAAGCACCAAAAATTTCCACCAACTTTTTGTGTATTTTATTCTGAAAATTATTCTTCCTCGAGATGGTTCATTGTTCCGCTCCATTCATAATTGATCAGAATTATTTGGTTTTTTGTTTCTAGAAAATATGATAATATTTTATATATAAAATTGGTTCGACGTTGTTGACGAGGTGATGTGTCAACAAGTGAATTGAGGTGGACGAGCTGGTGACCTACAAATAGAATCTTGCATCGGTGTAAGAGAACTTTGACATTCGATGATGTGTCAGCTACAAATACTCTAAACTTTGAAGCTTATGTTAGTTCGTAATCCRATCTGATGGTAAGTCATGCTTAGTTTTAAAAACAAGTATAGCATACATTTGGAAACGTAGAACTCAACCTTTTATAAGAGAACTTTAATAAGGGGAGATCTACCACTTTGACGCTCATATCCTACATCTTCCATAGGGCTATATCAATAGATTCTTACCACAGGGTATCACTCATTCTCAAGTTGGCGTCGAGCCAATTTTATTTTTGGGTCGACAACAGGTAATTTTGTTAGTCCCACTTTATTCCTACGTATCGTGTTGAAGCCTAGTTAATGCGTTATTAGATGACTAGTCCATGTGCAGGCCCTAAACTTACTCCCACAATAGTATATACATTAACCTTCRTGAYTTTTGAACTAATAGTTATAAATAAATAARTAAGGGAAGAAATTGGTTCAAATTTTTATTTACTTTTAAATTCTATTTTAATTTTCAAACTTTTGTGTTTATTATATTTTAGAATTTAAATTTCAAGTATTTAGTTTTAATTATGGAGCTCACGATAAAATTTTTGTTCATTTATTCCATCAGAATTAAGGAGCAAGTTTTATTGTGTGTGTATTTTTTTTCTTTCTTTTTTTTTTTCTAAATAGAATTGCTAAAGACGGAGTTTGAGAATTTGAACCTATAATATAGAAGAAAAGTTGATTTAAAAGTCAAGTATCGAGACTAAACAAAATAGATATAAAAACTTCAAATTGTAATTATTATTATTTTTTTCTCTGGAAACTCACAATTGATGAACTTTTTTTTTAGCACAATTCATGAACCTTCATCTTAGATCTAAAAGAAAATTTCCTCGGTATAATATTCATTAATAACTACTTATTGAACTACTGTAACAATATATTATAATCAAAATTTCAAATGTCTAATAGAAAATCAAAATTTCAAATGTCAAGATCTCAATTTTATAGAAATTTCGATAAAAATATTGATAAAACTCCAAAATTATAGAATAAAAAATTCATAAAAAGTATTTAAATTAACAAATAAATATTATACTAATTTTAAATAAGTTTAAATATTGTTATTAATATGTATACAAAAAGATATTGTTATTGATATTATGCATTTATTATTAATATTTTGTTGATATTTTCTAATATTTTGTTGATATTTTATATGGCACAATGCAAACACGATTCACTCCTTATGTTGATATCAAATCCATAGACGTAGGAATATCGATAAAAGTATCCATGAGTGGATAAAAATTTAATACCGAGATCACAATTACAATTCTAAACCTAGGCTTGATTTAACATTATTTCAAAACTGAGGAGAATGTCAAACAAATGTCTTACGGTCAATCAATATGAACTGAGACGGACATTAAATTCTAAGTAGGTGGCAACCACGATTTGAGCACATAAACTTGATTTAGTTTTAGTGAGTAAACGAAAAAGCTTTTGGTATTACAGGTATAGATACTCATTTCAGTCACTACCAACTATGTCACCATCGTATTTAAAGTGACGTGAGGTCTACCAACATTAAATAATAATTTATAAAAGCAAAATCATGACATGAACAAAGAAAAAATATGATAATTCCGTAGAATAATGGAATTTTTTCAAACTACAAACCATGTACTATCCAATCACTTTGCAAAATAATAATAGAACTCTTATTCTCTCCCTTGTTCTTTTATTAACCTTCAAACTAAGCTAGCTTGAGAGTTTGACAAATTTGGATCTTTTTTCTTAATACGTAAAACCCATATATGGCTCATCAATACCTCTTGACCTTAAACAATTTGTGGCAAAATGGGAAACGACCCTTGAATTATAAAGATTTACAATCACACCTTCAAATTTTCAATTTGATCAATTACCCTTTAAATTGTTGCAATTAAACTCTTAAATATTGCAAAATATACAAACCATCTCTAAACTAAGTATTACTACGATTAAACCATCAAACTATTGGAACATTATAATCACACCCAAATTTTTTACTCCAATTTTTTTCCTAAATCAAGATGGCTAATATTATTGGTGTTAAAACAATTTTTTTTTCCGGCATCAAATATTGTAGGGTCAAGCAGTTGCCGCGTGAGATTATTCAAGATGCACCTAAACTGGTCCGGACACTCACGGATATAAAAAAAAAAACCAAATACTTTTCAGGATTGATATTACAGTTTTCAAATTTTAATGAACTGAAAAAAAAAAAGGTTAAATTGTAATCATCCTTAATGTAAGGTGGTGGGTGTATTTTGCAATACTTAAGAATTTAATTGCAACAATTTTGTAAGTTATTCGGGTAATTGATCAAATTGAAAGTTGAAAGGAGGTGATTTTTCCTAAAAAAAAAATCTAATAAACAATAAAAAATGAAAAAAGATGATATGGATAGACTCCATGAACTTCCAAAACCTATGATCTTACAGGACAGAGAAGTTCCAGCTCAAAAAAATGATGCATATGGAAACAGATAGCTGGAAGCAGGTTATAGCAGGGAAAAAAATCAAAGAGACAACTAAGAAGAAAAGTCTAACAAGAAATCAAAAGAGAGAGAATATATAGGAAAGTAGAATCCATACACATTATTCAACAATATGCTAAACAGGCATCCATCAGCACTGATGCTTTAATGTTCATCAAGATCTTTGACTGAACCCAAAATTTTCTACCACAATTTCAAAGTTCTAAACAATTCTTTCTTGCACCAACATAGATGCAGGATAAAAGGTGCAACGAACAGATTCAGGGCAAAAAAGATCATTTATTGGATATAAACTTGCTTACCTGTTCAATCATTGTGTGGCAGTATCTTCCATGTGAGTCTTGTCTTGCTATCTCAAAAGCTTGACGCCTTAGTAGTTAAGAAAACAACCAAAAGCAGTACCTAATCTGAAAGGGTTTTTGTCATATCATCAAGTTTCAATTTCAGAATGGAATAGAATTCACATGGCTTTTAGGTGGAATAGATTGCTTAAAGCATATTCTTCACAATTATTTTAAGGTAATTCAGTATTTGGCCAAAGTTTCAAAACAGGAAGAAGAAAAAGGGTCTTTAATTCTATTTCTTTCTGAGAAACTAAACCAAACCAACAAAGACGCAGCTTTCGAGTTTGAACTCACGGTTTCAGTTTTCAGATCTTGAGGTCTGAAGAAGATTCATTCATCTGTTTCAATTCAATTAACCCAAAATTTCAACTCCCATTTTATTCCTAAAGCAATCAGTTCAAATGAAATTATATGGACTAGCAGCACTAAGCTCAAATCTCAAATCACAGGTCAAGAGTTACAAGATATTAGAAGCAAGAGAAGGACATTCTTTTTAAATTAAGTAATTTGTGAACTCTTCACCATTCCTACAAGGCTACATTATACATGAGCTGATCAAACACAAGAACAAAACCCCTCTAGAAGAATACAAAGATTTCAACCCAGAACCCAAACAAATTGAACATGTATAATTTTGGCTCAGATTATCACAATTGATGCGGAAGTATACAGATTTGTAGAGGCACATAATCAGAAAGAAGCAAATTTGAATGATCTTGATTTCAACCTGATACAGTCTCCAAATGGAATTATGATCGAGAGAAGCCTCTGAGTTTCAATTAATCGCATCGCACCGGTGACGAATCTCCCCTTGATAGCCCGTCATAACTTTATAATTACTCAGTTTCTCCATCGCTCGAGCAAAATCCTTGAAGAACTTGTTCTCGTCCGCTGCATACGCCTCCACGAATGGCCTCGTCCTTAAATCGTTGTACAGTCCATGATCAGACTTCAAGATCCCCAATCCCTTAGGCAGATTCTGGAAGTAGGAGTTATCAAATTTGTTGGGAGTCATAATGTCATTGAAAACCGATAAGGTAGGATTCTTTTCAAAACCAGAACAAGCTCTCTGCAATCCTTGCGCGAATCTAGGGTTATACTGCGTATCAAAAGACGACGACTTGCTATAGTTATAGATCTGAGAGCTGAATTCTTTACAATGCGAGAATCCGATTGTATGAGCACCACTCAGAGCTACCATTTCCTGCACAGTAAACCCCCGCGCCTTGAAAATATCAATTATCCGAGGAATCGGCGAGGTAGCTAACGGAAGAGCACCAGGAATCGTCGAAGCTTTGGACACACGGCCATCCCTGCGACCGAGCATAACGTTGTAGTAAGGTCCGCCGACCATGGTGACGAGGTCGCGAGTCGCAACCGCGAGAATGTCAGCGCAGGAGACAGTGTTAGGGCATTCGAGCTCGAGAGCGGTCTTGGCCCGAACGACGACATCGAAGGCGTCGCCGGGGAGGGAGAGGTTGATGTCGGCGTCGCGCTCGGCGGCGTTGAAGGAGGTGGAGGAGATGAGGACGGAGGCGTCGCAGCCGTTGGGGAGGCAATCGTGGAGGAAGAGGCGGAGAGTTCCGGCGGCGGTGGAGGGGCTCGTGATCTGCTTGTTGGTGATGGTTTCTTGGACAATCTGGCTGAATCTCGGACACGATTTCCGGTAGTAATCCGCCGTAAGAGGAGCCGATTCCGACAAGGACAAAAACGACGCCGTCGAGAGAAGAATGAAGAGCTTTAGAAACTCCATGGCCAGAGAGATGAAGAAGAAGAAGCAAGGTTTCAGTGGAGACTGAGCTGAAGAAGCTGAGGAAGAAGAAGACGACGACGACGACGAGAGGTTTTAAAACGACGCCGCAGCGGATGACACGCGCCACGATCTGGACCGCTAATCACGGACCGGCGGGGCCCACTTCTATAAGGTAGCGGTACTTTTATCGAATATATAATAATATTATAACTTTGAGCCGCGTCCTTTTGGCCGAATTGAAGAGATCCAATGGAAGGCCGCCACGTAGGAATGAATAACCGTAATAGTTTTCAAAATGACGGAAGTGCCCTCGAGAGGATGGGGAGGCGCGTAGAGGATAAAAATTGAGGAGTGGTTGAGTTGGAGATTTTAATGGGGGCACGAATATATGGAAATGAGTGAGTGAATTATTTAAAAAAGGGAGATATAAATTTATAGTATTGTTTTTAATTTAATTATTTGGGAAATATAAGCTGGCCTGGCGGGCCCGCGTTTTATGTGGAGAAAAGTTGTGAAAATTAAGCAATTTGTGTATTTAAATGAATTATTTCAGTTTTCTATAAGTTGTCTGCTCGATTTTAATTGGTTTTACTTACAGACAGGCAGTTGTTTTTAATCTTTCGATGTCAATTTCCTTTTCCATTTGACGTCGGTTTTGTAAAAGAGAGAAAAACTGCATTTAAAAGAGTTTTCTAATATATATTTAAATTTTATTGTGTCTAATAATAACTCAATAAAATATTAGATATTTTTTATATATATATATTTTTTAAATTTATGAATATGTTAAATTTAAATAGAGCTTATCAAAGTAGCAAAAAATTAATAGGAATTTGCAAAGTAGAAGGGAAATCCCGAGTAACGATCAAATCCACGGCAAAAAATGAGCATAAGTTTTATAATTTTTAAAAATTGCCAACATTTCCTTTGCAAAAATATGCCAGATATAATTTTCTATTTTTTACCCATCCACATCTGTCATCATTAGGTTTACTTGTCGACATCATTTAATAATTTTATCCAWCTATGGAATAATTCTTTTATATTCACAGAGATAGGAGACATAATTCACATGTATATGGTAAGTCTTGATTGAGCGACTTTAATGGTAGTTTTTACATTTTCCCTTTCACTCGTAGTATGGGAAAGAAGTGGACTCTAGAAGTACTACTAATCCAAGAATCAAACTGTATCGATTGTTTTTGTTTTATTTTATAGATCGTTCTGTTTTTCTTTGATTTTTTTTTTGTTTTGAACAGTGAAAAATAATAAAAGCAATTCAAGAGATAGACATTCTATTTCAAACTCAAAACTAAATTCCTAAAATCTCTACCTAAAAAATAAAATTCAAACTAATTTAGATTATATTTCAAAATTAAATCAATCTCCTGCCTTATTTTGTGACATCCTCGTTGATGTAATAACTCATTATTGCAATTTCCATGGAAAATAAGATTGATGCACGAGATGTTATTAAGGGGACCCCAAAATTCAGGCTTTCGTGCCTAAGGTACCATGCAATAGAAGATTAGCGAGACAACGATGGTGATGAAGGGAGTGACACTGAGTAAGGTGGTTTGGCCTTCCCTTGAGTTACAAAATGCCTCATGAGAGTGAATATGATGGCGGTGAGTGAGAATGAGTATAGGAAGGATAATGTCGGGCGTGGATCAGTCCTTTCGACCACTACATATTACCGATAAATAACAGTGTTTGACACCATGTAGAAAACAAAGAGTGTACCAATGATCTTTAATTTCTAGGCTACACTCTGATGAAAAAGTAGTCCATTCTTTTTCAAAAGCAAGGGATTCTTCACAATTGAAAACTGTTACCTTCCATTCTTCAAGAATAACCTTTTTATAAGCCAAAATCACTTCCATAGCAACAAATATGGGTGGGAAGTATTGCAAAAGCAAAACTACCTCTAATCTTTTTCTTGATATACAAATGGTATACTAGATATATCTCTTTCTTTTATAACCTAAATGTTGTATTCTAATACTTGATAGAAAAATTGATATATTATAAATATACCTAATTTGTTATATTACTAAAATAATGAATAACACAGATAGACCAACAATATACCTGATATACCAATGCGGTATCTGATGTATATAGGTGATTTGATAGACCATTGATATATCTGAAATCTAGAAACATGAAATTAGAATAACAAAAAATAAAAAATAAAAAATTGGATTTCAAATATTTTACCATATTTACAAAACTCAAATGTTGTTGCTATATTTGCAAACATGACAAATATTTTAGCTACCCATTACAAATTCTTAAATTAAACTTCGTCTAAATAGATCCTTAGTGTTTCAATTTTGTGACCCAGTTAAATCCAAATTTGAAATTTCGAATACTTATTTGAAAATTTTCAAGTTCCATAATAGGTACGGTGTAGAAAGTTTATACATCTATTAAATATTYTTAAAAATTTTGGGATGTATTATATTCAACAAAATGTTTTGAAATGTAAGTACTTTTTCTATAAGCATTTATTTTTAACAAAAACATTAATTAGTACTTCTTCAAAGCTTGTAGAAATTCAATTTTACTTTTTATTATTTAACCAAATGTTATGAAAATTTGAAAAGTATATACTTTTACCTTTTCAAAAAGAATTTCAACTGACCCTTATATTCTTAAACTTCAAAGAAAATAAAAATTTTAGTTCAGTTTAAAATTTTTTTCCTAATTCATTTAAATGTACAAAATAAATAAACAACATAACATAAATATTATTTTAAATATAACATAAAATTTAAAATGTTATAAAAATAGCATAATTCAAATAAAATGTCTAACTTAAATGGGACTTAAAATATATCAAGAAAGGTAAAAAATTATGTATTTGAAAAGAAAAATGAAAAATTTTGACATTTTTAAAAATACATATTAGACGTTTTGTTTTAGTCTCTGGATTATTAATTTTGTAGATATTATATGGAAGAAAAAGGACCTCATCAGAAAACTTGAATTTCACGATCAACAATCAAAATTGTAACATAAGATCGGAGCGTAAAATCGCTCTAGATATTATACCTTTGAACTCGATCGTCATCGCCATGGTATTCATCTCCTCTCTATAAGTTTATAAATGGAATGAAAAAACATTGAGAAACTTAATATAAACCTAAAAAACTAAAAATGAATTTTCCAAAAAATTATTTTAATTTTCAAGAGTTTTAAGAAATTTTACATTCAATCATTACCATAAAATTTAGCTGGTCAAGCATGTGATATGGAGAGAACATGAGCAGTTTAAAGGAAAATATAATAATGAGGTTACTCAAATTCGAAATAGAAAATGGGGCCATATGACAACTAACAAAATTACTAGTAATAGTTTTCTTTTTTTTTCTTTTTTTTTTTTGGAAAAAAAAATTATTCTTCCTTCTATGAGAAGTACTAAAAACCCATGTGATCATACAGAAAAATTTCTTTGAAAAGTATTTTTAATTTTTTTATTCATTTTAATCTTTATATTTTTAAAACAAATATAGGCATATAAAAATATCTATACGATCAGATGAAATTTATCCACATCATTTTATCAATAAATTATACTTAAGAAATGAAAATGAAAATTTTAAAGGATTAGAAATGGGATTGAAAAATGTTTTCAACACTAGCATCTAAAATATATATTTAGACTTTTTTTTTTCCTTTTTACGGTTAAAGAAAGAAATATAAATAAATATTTTGTTGGCGGTGGAGGGCAGCCGTACCGTGTGGTTTCGTTTAGCGCGTTAAATCACGTGACGGATCGTGCGGTGATGCAAAAATTGTCAACATCTACTACACGGCTTACACGATTATTACGCCTCATTTTTTTTTTTTATAAAAATGAGAAAAAAAGTGGTGTCGGTTCCCTTAATTCCACGGTTCAAACCAAACCGGTCCGGTGTAGCGATCTAAAGAGAGTGCCTCAATGCTCGCATACAATGTCACGACACAATTAGAAGATTGTTGCCTAGTCAAGAATTGATGTTAACTTAGAGCTTGAAGCAAGACGATATTTTGCAAAGTTGGCGATTAGTAAATTTGTATGGATTCACTCTTAAAACTTAGTAGATGCAAAGTTGAAGATATGATGTGACGATTTAGAGACTTATTTTTAGGAGTGGTTAATTAAAAGAAGTAGTGGCAAGGTATTAATGATTGGAATTGAAC